ACCCCCCCCCCCCCCCCCCCCCCTGATTTTCGAAGCGCATATTTAGTCACATGCGACATGGTGATTACGCCACCATTCACGTTCATACCTTACCACACACTAGAAACAATACATCATGAGCAGAGGCCCCTGTTTAGTGTCGGTTGAATAGTGCCAGTGCCCGGCGTGGTGCCGGTCCTTCCGGCAGGTACACAGAGGGGGTCCAACCCCCCCCCTCCTATGTGACCCCGGTTGGGTCGTCTAGCTGGTAGAAGTGGAGGCTAGGGGCCAGAGGGACAGACGACAGAGTCCAATGATGGGAGGCAGAAAAAAAAAAAAAACTTAACTGCCATGTCATTCTCACTACATGTACTTGGAATAGTGCCGGTCCGGTAGTGCACCGGTGAATTTTCTGGGCACATACCCACACAAGATAGGGACCTCTACCATAATACGGGAAAAGCTAAAAGGTAGAGGAGGACAGAGCAACCGAGCAAACCTCAGATTTGCTTGGAAGTGAAAAAAAGTGAATCATTCGCCGCGAAAATATGGTGCAAATGAATCTCGGACATGGTTGGCCAGCAAACAACAATGCAGACCAGCCAAATCACGAATCAGAGGTCATGTCGCCAAAACAAAGAAAAAGTCGTAACAGGGCATCGAGGACAAGGTACCTGGAGGCGGACGTTTCCTCCCTGGCGAGACAGCATCTTTTCGGTTTCGCGCTCCACCGACCGGCACTCTTCTTCCCGCCGACCGACCTCAGACATCGCCTCCACGATCTTAGAAAACACTTCCCCGAGCGCGTGCAGGTGCCTGGCATTGCACAGCATTGATGGGCATGGGGGGGGTAGTTAGGGCAGCAGCGTTCGAGGCAATGTGTTCACGTCCGTCTCAGCACTCAGAAGGGACGATGAAAAGAACAACAAACGTGAAAGATGGGTACAAGTGGCGGTGGCACTTCTTGTCCACTAAATTGCCCACCCGTGAAACCTCCTTGCTCGTGTGTAGTAACCCCGACTCTCGACCGACCAAACTGCAAGGGACGGGAACCGCTGACTGACCCCAACGGCAGCGCCACGGAAACATGCCTTCGCATCACTCGGCAAAACAGCAGTCTCACACACAACCTGTGGAATCGATTCAGAGCATTCTTTTCGACGGGTCCACGAAACAACCATCCAATCGAACAAATGTGGCAATTGAAAACAAGCGTACACGCCCACCCGTACGTCTTCTTCCGACCTCCCCCCTGTCCCAACTCTTTTCTCCCCGTCTCTCACTTGTACGCTTCGGTTAAGTCCTTCGCGCGGTCCTTGTTGGTCCCGCCACTCCCGGACTTGGCCTGCTTCGCGGCCGAGAATATCCTCTCCTCCGGCAAGGCCTCCGCCCTACCCAGCAACTCCCAGGCGCCGTTCGCCTCCCTGCGAGAGTCCAGGACCTCAGTGAGAGAGATCGCGATTTCCTTGTCAGGAAGAGGAGGGGATGGGACACACGACACGGTGAGGGGGGGGGATTGACATGATATGGTACGCAGCAAACACATGCTTGCGGGACGGACAGTGACAAATGGTGGGTTACTCGGACGGAAGAGAGAGAATTCATTACACATAAAAAGGAATATAGTAGATGACCGCAAAGGAACCGCGGATTGGGAAACAACTCGTGAGCTTCTTGGGCGGAAAACGGGTGACGAGAGCAATCGATGCAAAGAGAAACGAGAGGAACATCCATTGGAACCGAAGGCGATCGAAAAAACACAATCATAGGCGCACAGAGAGAAACAGGAACCGGAACGGGATTCTAGGCGAGGGAAATATCTGAACTTTTCGATTTTATCGTGTCTTCAAATACTTACCGCAACACCAACAAAATCGCGCCAAAAATTCCTTCATGAATAAGTTAAACCGTCAGACGTAGCTTCGGGAACGTGTTCCTCCACATTTCCAACTCACTGGAAACGATGCTATGAAACATGATCCTACGCTACAAGCGAATCGTCGTGTGCTGAGCGAACAGAAGGAAACGACAATATGATCATGGTTTCGTGATGATACCTTGGGAAACTGCTCTCATTCTGTAACAACTTGACACCCTGTCTTGACAACGAAATCAAATAGTGAATGGCTATTACCCCATCACGACATTCACGACGCGATCGGAGCATTAGGGGACCATACCTAAACATTGAAGTGGCTCCCGCACGCTTACCAATAAAGTCCACCAATCAGACCCCGTGACAGAAAACACCACCCTCCAGCGTGCTCGATTGTTGCTTCGACAATTCTGGTGCTGCTACTAAACGTTCGCACGAACTAACCTACCTGTTTCTGGGCCGCGGCGTCCTCGCACAGGCTCGTGATTCGCTTGTCGATGTGCGACCGAAGAGCAGCCTGAGCAAAACAAAACAAAACACAACAGCAGGGCATGATACCAAGAGGAAAAATAAGAGCTCGGTCAGAATCACTGAGGACTACAACAATATAAAGGAAAAAAGAAAAAAGCAACAGATGCAGACCAAAAAAGCCCACATCGAGGACACGCTGTGAGGCGCAACAGTAGTCAAGCTCCTTTCGGCTGCAGGGCCTGCGTACGAAGATAAGTATTTGGTGGAAGCTTGCCAACGGGCGAGTGGTAGTCGGTACTGCATGCCAAAAGTCCAACAACAAACCCGATAAGCGCGGGACACCCCTGGGTTGTCGGCAATCCCAGCCACAACTCCTCCAACGAACGCAAGGCCCGGGGTTAGAGCGCGCAAAAAGCAGGTGTCGCAAGCGGAAACACGTAAGACTGTCCCCAGACACGAGGGCATTTAACGCCGTACCTCGAGCTCCTTCCGGTGCTCTACCTCCAATAACGCCCGCTAGCCGCCCTCCACTGACCAAGGAGCGAGAACAAACACCAAAATAAATTACCGTCCCCACAGACACAAACCACCACGACCCTATTTAGAGCACGCATGCATGGTCTGACGTCACCCCAAGCTAAACCCGCCTCATGAAAAATATCCCGCAATCGTTCACCGACGACCCGATGGAATCCGAAAAAGCAACTTCGGACCACGATCGGAAAGTCACTTCCGATTCGCCGTATCGAGTGCCATATCTCCAACAAAAAGTACAATCACGCAAGTACAAATTCGAGCAATGCGGACATCCTCCTCTCATTGCACCCCCCGGAAAAATCCGAGCATCACAAAACGTCGAAGCGCAACAAGCATACTTACCCCAGCCTTTCTCCTTTTTCTAGCCTCTTCGCTGTCGTGTTCCTCCTCCCCCAACTCCGCCTCCCCACCGCTGCCGCTGCCGCTACCGTCGCCGTCACCCCCCTTCTCCGGCCCGATGACGACTTCGCCCCTCGCCTTGCTTTCCCATACCTCCATGTCCCTAGCGGCTGCCATGAGGGCAGACTCTTGCTGGCTCATTTCTTGGCACTCAGCGTACATGCCGCGCATCTCTGTCACAAGGGCCCGACATCGCGCCTGGTGGCGTGGGGGTGACAAGGGCACGTTGTCGGCCTGTCGTTCAACTACTGCACTTCTCCGGGTTGCTCTCAACACGAGGGGACGGGGGGACGTGCCCATGCAACGGAATCCACGATGTCATTGCCATGTCAAAAAATTATAAAATCCTCCCGCAAGACGGTTCCGGAGCAGCTTACTCCAAATGGGCATCAGGAAGAACGACCCAAGTAGTCGACCCAAGTGAAAAGGCAAAAAGAAGGAAAGCGAAAGGAATGGTTCATGTCATTCGAAGCGAAGGATCGCAGTCTACTATTTTGTTCCAGCCAGAGGCAAACGCAAACACCAAAAGATGCGTGATGCACGAACTAACCTTCCGTCTCGCGAGTTTCTCCCGCTGAACGCGCACCACCGCCTCCAAGGGCTTCCTCCCCTTCTCGAAGGCCTTCGCCGCCGCATGCATACGCGCCTCGGCGGCGACGCACTCGTTCTGCATCCTCGAGGTCTCCGCAGCAGCGTCTGACGAACAAGGGGCGGGGGAGACGCATTACCACAAGCGACGGAGGGGTTGCAGCTTTCCAATCGGTGCTTGCCTTGAGCGTTAAGGACTTCGTGCCCATACTTCATGTTTAGCCAAACAGGGAAGAGGCTAGCAAGCATTTTCGGCACGAAACAAATATCAGCACTATTTTCAACCGTCAAGATGGTTGTGAAAGCCGTTACAAATAGGTACGCTTGAGGAAAGGAGGTGCTCACCCGTGCTCGTGTCAGAAAGTAACCAAGGTTTGCACCCCAGCGGATCATCGACCTGCGGCACCCTCGGATCGGAGCCATTCGATTTATTGAGAGGCAAAGGCTTAGGGGTAGGAAGCACCGAGTGACGGGTCAGGTACAGGGCGGTAGTTTCTGCGGCACAAAACATCAAAACGTCGGGGGAAGCTTACTCGGGAGGAGTTCCAAGGCTTTGGCGGCGTAGCGGCAGTGCTTCTCCCTCTCCTCCGCCAAGCTACCCAGACGCTGCACTTCCTTCTCCAACTTTGCAGTGTGAAAGAACAGGCAGGCAGCATTTAAAACAGTTGGCACTCGCGCATGGTAATCAAGATATCGAGCCTCCGAACACTTCCTGTTTGTTTCTAAGAAGTTGGGCACCATTGTGAGCTCGGCTATCTAGCGGCCACATTCGTAGCATACCCATAGGAACTAAGAACTAAAGAGACCCAGCCTCGGCGAAAGCTGGACGTTTTTAAGAGCGGGCGCTAGCTGAGTTGGTTTGAGGTGACCCAGGTCTGATAAAACAAAATTTGAGGGTCCTGGGCGGAGGCGGGGGGGGGGGGG